TTTGATGTAGGCAATTTGAGTTTGTTACAACTTAGTACTAAACAAGTTGAAGTTGCTGTCACAAAGGGGCCACAAGCTCATCCCAACACGTTTCCTGCAGACTCAACGAGACGGCAATTTCCTTTATCTCTGCTTAAATTTAAACTACCCAATAATGAAGTTGTTCCAAGGGATTGGCTTGTTTGGAGCGAAGTGAAACAGGCTTTGTTTTGCTTTCCTTGTCGGTTGTTTTGTACTCAGACAGAGGTGGTGCGATCCAAATTCGCCTCAGTTAGTGGGTTTCCAAAAGAACATAAATGGAAAAAGTTGTACGAAAAGATTCCTGAGCACCAAAACAGCCTTAGCCATAAAGGATGTTACTTAAAATGGAAAGATCTGGAATTAAATCTTAACAAAGGAGGTACTATATTTGGTAGCATTGAAAAACAATTGCAGAATGAAATCACTACCTGGAAACAGATCTTACACAGACTCCTTCACGTAACTTTATTTTTAAGTGAGCGAGGTCTCTCTTTTAGAGGAGAAACTCAAAAGGTGGGTCATCCAAACAACGGCAATTTTTTGGGCGTGCTAGAACTTTTAGGTCATTATGACCCTATTTTATCGAAGCATCTAGATCAGGTTAAGCAATCTCAAGAATCGAATAAGAGAATGCAAGTGCATTATTTGTCTTGGAGAACTCAAAACGAGTTCATAGCAAGTTGTGCTGATTATGTAAGGAAAGTTATTGTGGACGAACTCAAGCGATCTAAATACTATTCTATTATGGTTGACGCTACACCAGACTCAAGCCATGTAGAACAGACCTCTTTTGTATTTAGATACATTATTTTCAAAGAAGACGTAAAAGAATATGAAATCCATGAACGATTTTTGGAGTTTTCCGACTGCAATGAAAAAACTGGAGAAGACATCGCAAATCTAATCAAAGAAGTTCTTAAAAAATATGACATATCCTTAGATAACTGTAGAGGACAGGGATTCGATAACGGCAGTAATATGAGTGGCAAGTATAAGGGTGTTCAGGCTCATATTTTAAAATCAAACCCTCTGGCTGTGTACTCACCATGTGGATGCCACAGTTTGAACTTATGTGGAGTATGCGCTGCTGAGAGTTGTACTGAAGCACAGACTTTCTTTGGTGTTGTTCAGAATCTGTACAATTTATTCAGTTGCAGCCCAAAAAGATGGGAGCTTCTGAAAGAGATAGTAGGATCTTCACTGCACTCATTGTCTGATACGAGGTGGAGTGCTAGAGTAGAATGTGTGAAACCAATAGCGGCACACATAGGCAAAATCATTGAGGCAGTTTCATCATTGTTGAATCTTAACGTAACTGTTGAAACGAGAGCCACAATCAATGGGGTTTTAGAATATCTTAACACCTTCAAGTGCATCCTTATGGCGTCAATTTGGGTGAAAGTGTTGGTACCCATCAACTACAGAAGTCAACTACTTCAAACTATGGACGCTACTTTGGATGTTGAGAGTAGTAATATAGAGAGCCTAATTGATGATTTAAGTGCCATAAGAAATAACTGGGACAAGATATTGTCTGAATGCAAACATGTTGCAAATGCTTATGGTATCGAACCGGAACTCTCCACTTCCCGTGCGAGAAAGAGGAAGACTCTTCACGATGAAACAGCTACAGAAGATGTAATGTTTAATTTATCCCCGGAAGAACGCTTCAAAATAGAAGTTTTTTACACAATAATTGATGTTTTGGTGGCCAACCTGAAAACGAGGTTCACAGCACTGAGAGAAATCGAAATGAAATTTTCATTTTTATGGAAGTATAACGAAATGGACGAGAATACGATCTCAGAAAGTTGTGTAAGATTCGCCGAAGAGTACCATTCAGATGTAAGCAGGGATCTAGTTGATGAAATGATTTACTTGAAAACTGTTAGTAAATCAAACATCTCAGATACGTCGCTGAAACCAGCCAAACTTTTGAACAAGCTCGTATCCCTTAATGTGACAAATCTTTTCCCCAATGTGTGCATTGCTCTTCGCATATTCTGTTGCCTACCAGTATCCGTTGCTCAGGCCGAGAGATCATTTAGTGTTTTGAGCCGAATTAAGAATTGTTTAAGATCTACTATGGGTCAACAACGATTATCTGATTTGGGACTGTTAAGCATAGAGTCGAAACTTGCAAAAACTCTTGATTTCGAGCACGTGATCCAAAACTTTGCAGATATGAAAGCAAGAAAAGTTATGTTGTAACTAACAGTTCTATTGTAGATAATTAAAAACAAAGTTTAATTGTTGAAACTGTTTTAATTTTCTTCCTTCTTGTGTCAGTAGCATGAATGTTCACTATTATATATCCCAGTTTATGAGTTATTAGATTTTTGGTAATTTTCGTCCAACTGGGTTTGGAGGGGGGCCCGGCCGGGTCTCATCCCCGGGGCCCGGCCTGGCTCTGGGCGGCCCTGAATATGGACACTTCGCAAAACGATATTTTATGGAACTATAGAAGTTCATTTTGACCTCATATAGGAGCCTCATCAAGTGCTTGATCCAGTTTGTTAATGATCAAATTTGAGCCCGATGTAGTTGAGTATTTGAGTATTCTTAGCAACTCTAGGGTCAAGGGTTCAACCCCCTTGTTACGAGGGCAGTGATGGTATTCTCCGGAAGTCTCTTTTTATCGTCGATTGTCGGGTGTTGATTGATTTGGATTTCTTGGGATATGCTATGGTCTATATCCCAGCAGCCAGTTTTGCCTGTTTCTTATCTTCCTTTGAGCTCTAGTTAGGCGTTATTTGAGACTTACTTATTTATTTTTTATTAAATAGTGATTGATTTTTAATTAATTTTATTTATAGTTTATAAGAAGAGAGTTTTAATTATATTATTTGTAGATTTGTACATGTTTCAATTAAAAATTTGAATCATAATATTGTTTCTAAAAAGATTCATTTATTAAAAGTTAAAATAATATTATTTTCTTTAAAAAAAATTATAAAACGCCAAAATTTAATGAGATTCTACGACCACGCGGCATCTATATAGAAAAATATTTAAAGTTGCATTTGTTGCCCCACTCTTTCATATTTTAGAAGCAGTAATAGCGCTGACATGACCGCTCCCTAGTGGTACTAATAAGGAACTAAAATCTTGATCAACTTCTGCTTCTTTTTTATAACGTGTGTTCAACCTTTTCCGACGCTAAAAAATATCAGTGAAAGATCCTTCTATATGCGTCTATATTCTTTATTAACAATGTCGGAGTAGTGTTCTGGGGGGGTTACCCACCAAAACCCCCCTGGGTGCGCCACTGACATTATTAATATTTCAAAAAAGTTATCTCAAATCCTTTATAAAAGGTATATAATAGAATGCCCAAACGGGCTATCACAAATATGTTACAAAACGTTTTCGGATTGTTAAATCCATCATCAGTGTAAAGGAGGTCTACCTACATGCTATGAGCCACCAAAATATATGGGTCAAAACCCTTTAAATGATATTAATTTACAGTTGCTTTACATTATATGTGGTTACAAATTATGATGTTTAAGTTGGAATTGGTAACATGGCGACGTATGACCCTACATAGGTAAAATGGTCCTAAGACGAAGAGTCTTCGAGGACCTGTTGATAACAACTCAACAGGTTGTCACAGTTGATAACGGTTGTTATCAACAGGTCCTCGAAGACACTTCGTCTCAGGACCATTTTACCTATGTAGGGTATTACGTCGCCATGTTACCAATTCCAACGGTAACTTAAACATCATAATTTGTAACCACATATAATGTAAAGCAACTGTAAATTAATATCATTTAAAGGGTTTTGACCCATATATTTTGGTGGCTCATAGCATGTATACCTCGTTTACACTGATGATGGATTTAACAATCCGAAAACGTTTTGTAACATATTTGTGATAGCCCGTTTGGGCATTTTATTATATACCTTTTATAAAGGATTTGAGATAAATTTTTTGTGATATATGGTATACAGCCAGCTACAGGAACTTGGTTTCCTAGTGGATTTTTATTAATATTTATTTGAATTTTTCTCATCAGACTGCTCCATTTATTCGTTATTAATGTTCTCTAAAGTTTCCTCATCAGTTTTTTTATGATCAACTTAAGTTGTCCCCATTCGTCCTCTGCATTCTGTTTTCATTGATACAGTTTCAGTTATTTTTCAGTTAAATTGCATGACACTGGATTTGCGTGATACTTTTTTTATTGTTCTGGTTTAATGTTGTTTTATTGTATTAGATAGTTCTTGAGAATGTATTAGAGCCATGAAAAATATGTGTTATGTTTTATTTTTTGCACAAAAACGAAGACTCGTATAAAAAATAAAACAGTAAAAAGATTTTTTAGTCACAAATTAAACGAAGAATTTTAAATAATTTTTAATAACAAAAATCTCAGTGGCGTACCATTTTTTTCTTCAAGAAAATTGAGACCATTACACCAATGATACATAAAATTCCTAATTGTATGTTAAAAAATTCGCAGTAACCAACTCTTAAAAACAACCAAATTTAATTTGCATACCTCAACCAGTTTCAGGGCAATAAATAGATCGTTAATTTGTAAAAAGAAATTCAACACGCCGCGCCGTATCTAGAAAATCGAAGCATTTGAGGGTATACCTATATATAGTAAACTGTCATTATTTTTTATGCAAATCACCTCTCCCTCAAGTTAGTTACATGTATTTTATAAAACTCTGTATATTTTACAAAGATGTATTATTCAAAAGACTAAAACCGACACTTTGAACTTCTCTCAATTAAAACTTTTGATCATCATGACCAAAGCCAAATCTCTGCAAGATTCAGCCAATTTAAATAAAACCACTTTTACATAAGAAAAGTGCGCCGGGGTCCTTTCTAACCTTCATCTCAAAAAATAGTTTATTTACACGCATGTGATAAGTTTCCATTTTACAAACTATTTACAGTTAGTATTTATTTATTTACTGATTACTGGTTTTATATTTATAAAGTTTATTTGGATTTTCAGGCCCGAGGGACAATCAAAAGGAAAGAGCAGAAGAAAACTCTGACGCACCATTTGTACTTTTGTATGAGAGACTTTGGTCACCACATTGGCGAAGATACAGAAATATATTTTTCATTGTACGATGCTTCTAAACAAAAGTATATTACAGAACGGTTCCTAGTCAAAATTTCCAAAGATGGTTTTTCAAACTATGTTGAAAAACTGCACAGCAATTGCACTATTTTTGCGGTAGGTTTAAATAGTATTTAACTTTTCTATTATATTTTACATATTTGTGTTTTTTTATTTTTATGGAAATTTTCCCGTTTGTGATTGATACTGTATAAGAGTGAACAACTCCTATACCTAAATACTGTTTATATATTTCTACAGTATCTACCACAATTTAATTATTAGACTCGGTTTAAAAGTTGTGGATGGCTAAACCAGTAACGAAGAATTTCAAAATAATTTGAAATTTTTTTGTCTCTAATTTTTCAGTAATTTTAATAAACCAATAATGATGAAACCTTAGACATTATAGTAGACTTATTTAACTCAGTATACAAAACAGGACACATACCGAGACAATGGTTACTCTCCACCTTTTGTGCTATTCCTAAAAGTACAAACGCTAAATATTGCAGTGAATACAAAACAATATCACTAATAAGTCACATTCTCAAGTTATTCCTGAAAATAATACATGGTCGTATAAATAAAAAGCTGGAAGAAGGAATAGATGATAGTCAGTTTGGGTTCAGAAACGGACTAGGAACCAGAGAAGCGTTATTTGCTTTTAATGTGTTAGCTCAAAGATGCATGGATATGAATGTTGATGTGCATGTTTTTACGTTGATTTTGAAAAAGCATTTGTAAAAGCACAAAGTAAGACATAAAAAATATGTCCAAAATCTAAAGACAAAAAACATAGACCATAGGGACTTACGAATAATAACAAACCTCTACTGGAGTCAAAGAGCACAAATCGTAATAAATAACGAACCTAGTCCGGAAATTGAAATCAGGAGAGGAGTTAGGCAGGGATTTATTAATTATGTCTCCATTAGTATTTAATGTATATAGTGAAGCCATTTTTGAAGAAGCATTACTCTCTCAAAATTAAGGAATATTAATTAACGGAAGATCTATTAACAACATAAGATATGCGGATAACACCTAGATTATGGCAAGCTTTGCTGAACAACTCGTTACTGCTAAACAAAACAAACAGTTTCTGTGAAAAATATGAACTAAAAATGAATATAAAAAAGACCAAATACATGATAATAACAAAGAAAACAAATATACCAACAAACATACATTTGGAAAACAACCGAAATAAGAGCTAGGATAGAAATAACAAGAAATGCGTTTGTAAAAATGAAAACAATTATCTGCAACAAAGATCTTAGATTAGAATTGAGAGTAAGAGCACTGAGATGCTACGTGTTTTCGATACTGCAATATAGACTTGAAAGCTGGACATTGAAGCAAGAACACAAAAATAAATTAGTCCTTTGAAATGTGGTGTTACAGGAGGATGCTTAGAATAGCATGGACAAAGAAGAAAACTAACACGGAAGTATTGCGAGAAATGGACAAAGAATGCGAAATAATAAACAATAAAAATTAGAAAGTTACAATATCTGGTACACGTGGGGTACACAATGAGGGGCAGCGATATGAACTGCTAAGGCTGATAATACAGGGAAAGATACAGAGAGGAAGAAGTATGGGAAGAAGGAGAGTGTCATGGTTGAAGAATTTAAGGGACTGGTTTAAATGCAGTTCTATAGAACTCTTTAGAGCAGCCGTAGATAAAGTAAAGATAGTGATGATGATATCAAACTTCCGATTGGGAGACGGCACTTAAAGAAGAAAGAAGAATAATGTGGGTAGCGGCATAAGTTGTTTAGGTATAAAATATTATCATTAAAATTGACAGTATAAAATTCCGCATAGCATGGCAAATAATTTGATAAATAATCTAATAAGAAGAATAATAAGACTAATAAATAATCAATAAAATATATCACTTGGTTTAAATATATTAACTGAATTTAAACAATACAACAATAACAATGCCGTCACAAACTTTGTGCCATTTTCGGACCGATGTCTTCTTATTCAACTATCCGGAAAGCCAGTAAATATTAACATCATTCAAACTTATGCCCCTACAGCCGATAAACCCATAGAAGAGCTAGAAGCGTGGTATGCGGACGTAGAAAAACTTATAAAGATGACCAAAAACGAGACCTAACATTTATCTTAGGTGACTTTAATGCTAAGTTAGGTAGAGGAAAAGTTTCTGGATTGATCGGAGACTTCGGACTTGGAGCAAGGAACGACAGGGGAGAGAGAATGACCGAATTCTGCCAACAATACAACATGGTAGGGACAAATACATGGTTAATATTACACCCCCGCAGATTGTACACTTGGACATCACCACAACACAATGAAAACAGAGTAATCCGTAACCAAATAGATTAAATATTGGTCAACAAAAGATATCACAATGCAATCATCAGTGAAAAAACATATCCTGGAACTGACATCAATTCCGATCATAATCCTGTTGTTGCAAAAGTTCGCGCAAGATGAAAACTAATAAAGAAACAAAAACCTCAACACTAACTATTAGACATCCAATTATTGAAAAACGACACCATACATCAGACAGTAAATAAAGAATTAAACAAAAATTTAGGAAATATCGACCACAATAGAACACCTAGAAATAACAAACAGGAATTGATGACAGAAGAGATTTTACAATTAATGAACAAACGAAGAGAATCTAAAGGAAAAAATGACAAGGACGGAGAATACAAAAGACTAAATAGAATAATTCGAAAAAAAATAACCGAAGCAAAAGAGAAATGGCTGGAAACAAAATGCGTTGAAATAGAAGAACTGCAACAAATGCACGATTTTTTTAATTTACATAAAAAGGTAAAAGAGTTTACATCGACTACCAAGAGAACGAATTTTCACACCATGCTGAACACGGATGACAAACTGCTAGAATCAACGGAAGATAAACTGAAAGAATGGGAAAACTATATTAAAATTCTTTTTCACGACAGACGAGAAGAACCAAGATTGGAAAATAACAACGAAGGGCCAACAATTCTGAAATCTGAAATCATAAATGCAATTAATTATCTCAAAACAAATAAAAGCCCAGGTCCAGACGGAATATACCCAGAAACGTTCAAATTAATCAGCGAAGAAAATATCGAATTATTTGTCCTTTTATTCAGTCGCATTTATGATACAGGTAAAATACCCCAAGATTGGCTGGAGTCAATATTCATCCCACTACCAAAAAAGCCAAACCCACTGCAATGAGTTCCGTCTGATAAGCCTTATGAGTCATGCAGTAAAAGTCCTACTAAAAATCGTACATAATCGTATCTATAGAAAGTGCGAAACAATCATCGGAGACGATCAGTTTGGATTCAGAGCCGGCATGGGAACGAGAGAAGCCCTGTTCAGTTTACTAGTTCTCGCCCAAAAATGCTACGACCAACAGAAATATATATTTATATGCTTTATAGACTTCGAAAAAGCATTTGATAGAGTAAGACACGACCTACTATTAGAACGTTTGCAAGAAGTCGGTTTAGATGGAAAAGACATCAAATTTTTAAAAAACTTGTACTGGAACCAAAACGCCAGAGTTAGGATCGAAGGTTCCACATCCGCAGAAGTAGAAATTAGGAGAGGAGTTAGACAAGGATGTGTTCTGTCGCCTCTGCTGTTTAATCTTTACTCCGAGTTTCTATTTAAAGAAGCATTGGAGGATTCCAAGGACGGAGTCAAGGTGAATGGCGTAAATATCAACAGTATCAGATACGCCGATGATACAGTATTAATTGCGGATTCCGACTCAGGTCTACAACGACTCATCGACAAGACCAACTCGACCTGTGAGCAATTTGGTATGAAAATAAACATTAAAAAAACCAAAGTGATGTCAATCCGAAAAAACCAAAACGTACCTCAACCTTGCACAATAAATGGGCACATCTTAGAACAGGTCACTAGATTTAAGTACCTGGGATGTTGGATCGATAGCAGCCTAAATCCTGATCAAGAAATAAGATCGAGAATAGAACAGGCCAGAAAATCTTTCGAAAAAATAAAAAAACTGCTTTGTGATTCTCGAATAAAACTCGAAATTCGACTACGTTTATCAAAATGCTACGTCTGGTCGACTCTTCTATATGCAGTTGAAACGTGGACCCTTAAAACATCAACCGTAAATAAATTGGAGGCCTTTGAAATGTGGATCTACCGGAGAATACTCAAAATTTCATGGACATCGCATACTTCAAACGAAGAAGTGCTGCATAGAATAGGCAAGGAAAGAGAACTTTTTAACACAGTAAAAGTTAGAAAAACATCATACCTAGGCCACATACTGAGAAATAATAAGTACCAATATGCCCAACTTATAGTGAAAGGAAAAATCAAGGGAAAGAGAGGCCTAGGAAGGAAAAGACTATTGTGGCTCAGAAACATTCGACAATGGACAGGGTTAAATTTTGAACAGCTAATAAGAACAGCTGAAGATAGAGAAGAGTTTAAAATTGTAGTAGCCAACCTCCATTGAGGAGACGGCACTTTAAGAAGAAACAATACAATTTTTTTTATTTGTGTTAAAACCCAATCTCTTACATACAAACAAGTAACACTAAGCATTTTGGTTGAACGAACATATGTAAACAAGAGTTTTAGTCCAATGACTATTAACTCATATTGAGTTTATAATTAATAACTAAAACTAATTATATGCAAATATTTTCTAAATGGTAAGTAAAGTAGAGTTCTAATGTTTAATCTACCTAGTTAAGGGGAGTTGCATTCCAACTGCTAACTCATTTGGATGTTTTTCCAGTCGTTTAAAATATTTATCACTGCTTTTAACGATCATTTACTTAATGTCTGCATTTGGAATGAACCAAGACGCATCAGTGATGGACCGAAGAACCTTAGATTGAAATCGCTTAAGTATTGCTATGTTGCTATCTGCTGCAGTTCCCCACAGTTCAATCCCGTATCTCCAGATGCTAATTTTTTGTTCCAGCAATTTTATTCCTAATTGCTTCCTCTTCATCCACATGTGTGTCCCTCCATGTTAGCCTTTTGTCAAGGTGTAATCCAAGATATTTAACAGTATCATTTTTTCGAATGTTCTTGGTATGCATTAGAATATTTGGTGTTTCTTTGTGACAATTAGTAAATACCACGTTAACTGATTTTGCTTCGTTGATCTTTATCTTCCATTTCTTAGCCCATATTTTAATTAAATTATATGGTTTGTTGTAATATTTCAGCTGCTTGTATGGGATCTTGCTTGTATGGGAACGTCAATAGAACTTTTCAGAACGGCTGCAGTTAGAGTCAAATGGGCCATGATGGTCGCCAATGTCATTAGGGATGGAGCACGTTAAGAAAACGAAGTATAGGATATGGGTTTTTGACCAGAATTGCAGAGTCATCTGCGAATGTTTGTATTGCGGATTATTCTCCAGTTGGGAAATCAGCTGTAAATATTGTGTATAGGATTGGTCCCAAGACACTGCCTTGCGGGATCCATGCAATTATGTTGAGGATGTTAGACACACTTTCTTCGTATCTAGAATCAAATAGTCTTTCTTCGAGGTATGCTTTTAGTATCGTGTATAGCAGCTGAGATATTGCTTTTTTCATTTTAAATCGTAATCCTGGATGCCAAATCTTATTAATGCTTGACTAACAAAAGCTCTTTTCATGGAAAACTGAATGTATCTTTTCTACCTCCCTATGCACTTGTTCAGTTGTGCTATGTTTTTGGCGTAAACCCACCTGATGATTAGATATAATATTGTTGTTCTGGATATCAATAATCAGTCTACTTGCAATAACTGGGTCGGTAGGATTTAATCTCATGTGAAGATTTTCCCGGTTTTGGAATCGTAATGATTTCTAGTAACTTCTGTTGTGCAGGAAAGTAACCTGTTCTTAGTACAGAGTTTATGATTTCTACTAGACTTACAATTCATTTTCTGGGTAGAATATTTATTATGTTGGCCGATATCAGATCGATTTTTTTAATGACGTTTTTTATTAGACTTTTTATTTCGTTGACAAAGTGAACGAGTTTGATGCCATTTTTTACGAAGTTGTCGTTCTTCTACCATTTTTGTTCTTATTATTGTTGGACAATCCTTATTGAACCGTTTTCGTTATTCAAAGATATGTTTTGTAGATTCACATGGAGCTTCATATATTTATTTTGTTAATGTTTCTATTGCTATTTCTATTTCTTGTGGTTGTTTTAGTTGGATTTTTAGGTCTATCTTTTCTTGTAGGATTTCTTTGAAAATATTCTAGTCTATTGTTTTATTCGTAGTCTTGGAGGTGGACATTTTTCTGATGGATTCGTCATCATTGCTGCAATGATTTGTGAATGATCTGACGATAAGTCTTCATTAGGCTCTTTGTACAGGTATTCTTTCGGTATTCCTTTGTAGATAAAAAAGTCAAGTAGATCGGGTGATCGGTTGGCCAGTAATTCTTAGTACATATAAAATCTTGGATCACGCACTGCTATTTTTCTTCCAAAAACTTTTGTGGTATGTAATGATTAGCAAATTAAAAGTCAACAAAAAGGAATCAAATTCATTTAATTAAAATATTGTTTTTGTTCTAAAACTTTGTATAAATTGTATATTACTAATCGTAATATTACTATTATTATTATTATAACGTATTATAAACAGTCTGTACTCTTATAAGGACCACTTTATGCCCTCGATGGAGATAAATTAGTAATATTCCATATTAAACTTAAGCCAAAAACTTGTATTATGAAAATTTAGAAAAAAAGTTATAGTCTTGAATACTCTGCTATTAAAATTATTGGACAATGCTAATGATTTATTTATTTTCCTTAAAAGCTATTATGTAAATTGAATACCTTAATTTATTGGTAATACTTGAACAGAAATAATTATTATATAATAATTTGTTTTCTGTTTTAGGATTTGGGCAGTGCAGAATTAAACAAAGATATTTATATAGTTGCTCATATAATGAGGATAGGAAGAATGTTATATTCTGATAGTTCGAAAAAGACTGATAAACTGGCAGCTCAACAACAGATATTTAAAAGGCCGCATGGGGTAGCTGTGCAAAACTTAGGAGATTCTTTAACTAGTAAAGAAAGTGATACAGAAGAAAAGGAATTTAATATGAAGGTAATATGTTAGAAGATTATGTTAACCATGTATTAGTGTTAGAAATACATTCTCGTTGACTTTAGTCCTGCATCCAATTAGGTACTTGATATTTTTTTTTTGTTTCTTAGAAACTACTGGTGCAAGTGAACAAACCAGGAGGTTCTTCTTCCGGGATCTCTACTGTTGTACCAGTCTACAGAATAAACATGAGACTAGGCATTTCTTAAGTTGTAAGCTTATAACCTTCTTCTTCTTCGTTTCATATCCTCATTGGTCGGCGATTATTTTGATCCACATAAGCTTCTTTACAAAGGTGTTAAACAATTAAAAATGATTTCCGGAGTAGAAATTGAAACGTCAAACAACAATTATGAATGTAATTTTCATTACAATCTATGGTAGCTTAATCTTATATAAACATTAATATTTAAATTTTTGTATCTTTTCTTTCTTTTTTAATCGTATTCTATTTATTGTTTTTTCGATTCATTTTTTGATATTTATTTTATTTTCGACCTACCAATATCTGATGAGCTTTATCTGAGTTAATGTTAATTAATTAAACACAAAATGAGATATCTTTGTATGCTCTAACCACAGTGGAATTACGCTTCTTAAATGCAGCGTATAAAATATTTTCCATAGTACTATGTTACCATATGACACAATATGCAGAACGGATATTAAGAAAATACCAGGCTGGTTTCAGAGGTGGTAAATCGACAATAGATCAGATAGCCACCCTGAAACAAATTTTGGAAAGAACACTGGAATATGGCATTAATACTCATCACATATTTATAGACTATAAGTTAAATGTAGAGTACGAATTCAGGGGAAACTGTCTGAACCTTTTAAAACAAATAACGGACTGCGCCAGGGAGACCCTCTCTCCTTTATACGGCTCTGGAAAAAGTAATACGTATGTCACAAATCACAACTTCTGCTTCAATATATTATAATAAATTAGTGCAAACCCTAGCCTATGCTGATGATATCAATATTGTTGGGAGAACGGAAAACGATGTACGGGAGGTGTATGTAGCATTAAAAGAATCAGCTACAAAAATGAGTTTAATAATAAACACCAAATATAGTTTATTTTTATGAACGAGAGAGTAATTAGCATAATTTTAACTGGTATCTCCGACCACTCCATGTGCGTGCTCAAAATTAATTTTGCAAATTACTTTGAATAATTGTAAAAAATAAATGAATTATTTCAGTGTTATAAAGTGTTGTGTGTATGTAAACAAAAGTGACCTCTTTTATCACACACTATATTAGAACTGATTGGCCTACATTAAAAAGAGTTTTAAAAAATTCACATTTTTTTTAATTTTTAAAAATTACAAAAGAGAAAAAGAGTTTTTAAAACCGTCTAAGGTATGTTAAATAGATGAATAAAAATATTAATATAAAACTTAAAGCTACTTTCAGAACCAAGATTTATAATAACTGGCTCGATCATTTTATCAGTAATATTGGCCAGCTTCCACATTTTTTCCTCTTCTTTGATAGTGTGATTTACTGCCTTTTCCCAGTTTTCAGGTTTTGCATTATTTACGGCCTCAAAAAACAACTGTTTAACATCATGAATTTTAAAAGTGGTATTTTTTCTTGAAACTTCATTCTTTATCTGTGCCCATACCAGTTCAATCGGGTTTAATTTACAATGATATGGTGGGGATCTAAGTACTGTCATTCCACGATTTTTTTCAATTTCATCAATTTCGTATTTTTTAAATTTTTCTTTATGAAGGGCACACAACGAATAAAGTTCCTTTCTTATAGATCCGGGATGGTACGTAATATTTTTTGAACTCAGCCAATTCTGCAAGTATTTTTTTAACCACTTGGTTGTGGGCAGTCCTTCTATAAGTCTGGAGTGATAACTTGCATTATCCATTACTATTACACAGTTCTTAGGAAGAAGATCTATCATTTGTTCGAACCATTCTTGAAAGACATCAGCGTTCATGTCTTCATGGTAGTCACCGGTACGAGTTGATTCAAAAGTTAATAAACCACCTTCAACAAAACCGTCTGAACTGCCAATGTGTACTATTATCAGCCTGCGTGCCTTTCCTGATGGTGGGTTTAAACCAGTAGATAAGTTATTTACAAAAGCGTGCCTTTGACTTGTAACAGTTTCATCCTGCCAAAATTTATTTGGTGTATGACCCTCGTTGATCCATGTTTCATCAAGATAAAATATTTTTCTTTTTTGGTTTCTCATTTCCTTTATGGTTCTTAGAAAATGTCTTCTCCATATGACAATATCGCTTTTTTCTAATAAAATAGACTTTCTGGGATTCTTTTTCCAGCGGAAGCCTCTTTCTTTTAAAAGTTTCCATAACGTACTTCGACTCATTTCTGGGTAATCCTTATCATCTCGAACTGAGACAAGAACTTTATCCAATGTTGGAAATTCTTGTCTAAAGAAGAATTCATGCACTTTCCGTCGAAGTCCTTCTTTAAAATGATATTCTATTTGAAATTTTGGTTTCCCTGGAGCATTACGTGGCATTTGAAAAGTACAATTTCTCTTCTTTAATAACTCTGTAAATCGTAGATTTCCCAACACCAAGTGTACTGCTAACTAACTCAACGGTCTCATCAACACTTTCACATAAACGTTTGTCTGTAAATGATTTAAAACAATTAAATATTAATGTTTTTTCATTAACTGTTAAAGGACCAATTTTTCGGCGTTTACACGGCACTTCCAAATTTTCCATAACACTAGTATACACAATAAACTGCACCTTGCAACTGAAGTACCTACTTTTAGTGAACTGTTAAGAATTTTGAATACGCCACTTGGACCTTCCTACAAAATGGAAAAACCCACTATCACATTTTCTGTGGAATAAGTTTAGAAAGTAATTATATAGTCAATTACTGTCGTAGATTCCTGGAATTAAAGAATTAAATGTTTGATTGTTGAAACCCTTACTTCGTGGAATGCACTCATTTCAGATAAAATAAAACGTTTTATTTTATCTAAAGAATTAAACTTTATTTTGCAAATAGGTAGGTACTTATTAAACTTTTATTGGTTATATATAACCAATAAAATAAACATCTTACATTTCTTGCAAATTCATTAGTACCTGTTAACCTCCATCACTCCGACACTGGCAACCTTATTTAGGGATTAGTAACCCTCACAAGTATTATATTCTATTCTGCTCCAACCTTTATCTCTGGTGGTCATACTCAATTTAAAATTGTTTTCCCATATACTTCTGTAAACTTGTTGACAAATATCTGTTTTTCATTGAGTCACGAGTATCAACAGTTTAGGGATTTGCATACATAATTTATTGTTTTATTACTCTCTCATACATAAAAATACACTATAAATGAAGGATATGAAAATAAGCATACAACCACAAATCCTACGACCACTTGTTATAGAAAACGACAACGAATTTGTATACCTGGGAGCACTCCTTAACACTGCAAATAGTACTACCGCAGAGATAAACCGCAGAATTTGCACGGCCAACAGATGCTATTTTGGGCTCAATATCCTCCTTAAATCCACAATTATATCGAGAAATACAAAAATAAAACTCTGCAAAACAATAATACACCCAATCCTAACATATGGTTCAGAGACCTAGACTTAAACAAAAAATAATGAAAACATGTTAGGATGTTTCCAAAGAAAAGTACTAAGGCGAATCTATGGAGCAGTAAATGACAATGGAGTGTGGAGAAGACGATACAACTTCGAACTTTATAGAATATACCAGGAACCTGATATCGTAAAACACATTAAGATAGGACGTCTGAGATGGATAGGGCATGTAATGAGGATGGAACAACATGACCTAGCTAGAAAAACGCTTCGTGATAGACCCATTGGTCAGAGAACAAGAGGAAGACCCAGAACAAGGTTCCTTGATAACATCGTTAAAGACATGAGAAATATGGAAATACGTGCTTTACGGAGAAAGGCGATGTATATGGACGACTGGAGAGAAACTCTTGAGGAGGCTAGGATCCATGCCGGTTTGTAAAGACAGAATGATGATGAATATCTGATAAGACCCATGATGCATATATGTCCACTTGTGTTCACCATATTGCGGATATGGGCCAGAGTTTGCCTTTCTGTCTTTAAGTTTCTCTTCACCTAGATCTAACACTAGCTAATAATCTAATAATATGTCATAGTATGGTCGGAACACAAACTTTTTAGACAAGACGATATTATAAAGGACTAATATTGTCTATTTCACACTTAGATTTCCCCTTCGTTTGAGTTCTACAATCATATTCATCTATGTACTATTATTAATATTATTTTCATATATCATCTCCATCATTTTACGAATATTTAGTCCTGTGCAAATAATATGTAACTAAGTTTTATGTAGATTCCGTCGAAACAGTCTATTAGTTAGTTACAATTCTGGTAATTAAAAAAGAAAGTTTCTAGCTTTTCCTAAACATAAAATTTGATGGTCTCATAGTATCCAATTTTCAAAATACTGTTTGTCAAACAGGATATCGTTTAATATTGCAACAAGTATATCGCTACCTTGGAAGAAGGCAGTCATATCTCAACAAAAATGAAAAATAGACTGTGTTAGTAAACAGATTTTAAATACTCTATATTTTTTGTGTGATAACGTCATATGGTAGAAGTGCGGTTATTGTTAATAAGATAAATAAGGAGAAGTTGGTTCGACATTTTGCACAATACTGTCATATTTTGATCTATGCCGTGCGTTCTCAAAAGCACAATAAGATAATACAATACTTTCTGTGAAGAATAATGTATTATTTTGATTTATGTTAGTCTTGTAAATAAGTTAAGGCTATGTCTAAAATGAGTTGTAGTATTCTTTTGAGTTATTTCAGTATTTAAGAAAATTATTAGAAATTTTTTAATTTTTGAACCCAACTATCTGCTAGTGATGTCGACTTCATGTAGATTCCAAAAATGTCTCAAGGATTTGGGGGTAGACCCATGCTAAAGTTAACCTGTCAAAAACAATGAA